CCGGACTGTTTGTCAATGTGTGTGGGTTTGTGTTATACTCTGTGCTCTAATTGCATTAGACCCTATCGGTGTGCACTATATTTGAACCCTAAACCCTAAACCCCAAACCCCAAGCCCTAAACCCTAAACCACTAAACCCCTAAACCCCTAAACCCTAAACCCCTATAGATCTCTTGAGAGGAACCCTCCCACAGAGCCAGCCCGAAATCCTACATCCGAACCGCCTTAAAATTTGTGGGCTTTGGGGCTTAAGGCCCCTACTGCTGATGATATAAATCCTGGTTTAGGGGGTTTAGGGTTTAAGGTTTAGGGCTTATAGGGTTTAGGGTTTAGGGTGCATCCTGCATTACCTTAAGGACCCTAAACTCTGGGAAAGGTGGTATATATTCCTTACTAAGACTATTGTTAATGTAGGATTTATATCATCATCCGCGGGACCTTTATTTTGAGATCCCTTAAAGCGGCCTGAAACCCTAGGACCGCTCCAAGCCCTGCGTGGCCCCTTAATAATAGGGGTACCCGTTTTCCTGTTATACAGGGTTTTGGGTTTAGGGTTTGGGGTTCAGGGTTTAGGATTTAGGGGGTAGGGTTCAGGGTTTAGGATTTTGGGTTCAGGGGTTAGGGTTTAGGGGTTTTTATAAGGGAGTCATACAATGAAACGGCAGAAGGGTACTACTCAGGAACCTTGTAGATCCCTCGTACAGGCACCCAACACCTTAAGCAAATCCTTTAAAGGAACCCTAAGACGAAAAGGACGAGTAAGTAGGGTTATAAGTACCTTAAATGGGGCTAGAAGTAATTATAAGTATAGGTACCTTATTATAACCCTAGTTACTAAGTCCCATGATCCTTTAAGTATGGTTTACTTAAACCCCAAAGAACCGATATACCTTCTTAGGGTTCCTTAATGTGACTTCCTTACACAAGGACGGTTAGGGGTTTAGGGTTTAGCGTTTGGGGTTTAGGGTTTAAGGCTCTAGGACCTTTATAGATGCCTAAAAGGAGCCCTGAAACCCTAACCGCCCCAAGTCGTTAAAGGGACCCCTGGGGCGCCAACTCTGAACCAGGGATTCTAAACCCAAACCCAAAACCCTAAACCCCAAACCCTTTAAAGGAATTTAAAGGAACCCCAAGACGAAAAGGCTAGGTCTTTAAAGGGACCCTTGAGGCGCCTTGCATCTCGTACAAGCAGCCGGCGGCAACATCCTCGGGAGGGAAGAGGAAGAAGAGGCGCTGGCCTGCGGAGCAGAACACGAGTTCGGTTTAGGGTTTTGGGTTTAGGGTTTAGGGTTTAGAGTTTAGGGTTTGAGTTCCGTTCTGGGAGATCCCCTGAACCCCCAAAAACCCCAAATCGCTAAACTTAAAGCCCCAAAACCCCAAACCATAAAAATAAACCCCAAACCCTAAGCCCAAAAAACACTAAACCGCAAATCCAAACCCTAAAGAACGCTAAAGCCAAAACCCCAAAAACCCAAACCCTAAAGGCCCTGAGTCTTAAGCTCGCGAACCGGTTCCATTCTGTGGGATTCCTTTACGGCCCACTTTTCGTCCTGGGGTTCCTTCAAAAGTTTAAAGGGTTTAGGGCTTAGGGGCACGCTTTTCGTCTTAGGGTTCCTGGACAGGGTTTACGGTTCAGGGCTTGCTGCGCCCGTTTCGTCTGAGGGTTCCTTTAAAGGGTTGAGGGTGTAGGGTTTACTGCAGCCTTTTCGTCTTAGGGTTCCTTCAAAGGGTTTCTTTACGGTTTTGCGTGCCTCTGAGGTATGTATAAGCTTCCTTCATAAAGTTTCCAGAAGTAATAACAAGGCTGCTCCTGTGACAAAGGGTTCCCAGTACCTATATAGTAGAAGGTAAGACTATACCGCTGATTATATTTAATTCCTGCATTGCCCATAATAAGGATACCAAGATTCCCAGAGTTTAGGGCCCTTAAGGTAATGCAGGATGTATATCATCAACAGCATTATGGTGCAAGTAAGTATCCCCCCCATGTAAGTACTTCGGGCCCTTTGGGCATTAATGCTTTTAAGGGTCTATAGGGTTTAGGGTTCAGGACGGAGCAGAAAACGTGCTCACCTTTACAGAGATTCTTAAGAGTCTCCCATAATATGTAAGGGTTCCCTGTACAGAAGAGTCTATTTGGAGCCTCTGGGATATTCAAAAATCGTTTATGAAGGGATTTTGGATGGTCTCGGTCACGCCTTCCAGCTGCAGGAGCCACGTGTGAGCTCCGTGATTGGCGCGGTGCAGCCGTGACACGGCTCCTGTCGTTGGGGTTTAGGGTTTAGGGTTTAGGATTTAGGGTTTAAGGTTTAGGGTTTAGGGTTTAGGGTTCAGGCTTTAGTTCCTAGGGTTTATGGTTTAACCTGTCGTGGGTTCTTCTTCTGAGGTATCGTTGTGTTTGGGGTTGGCGCAGAGGGCTCATCATCTAGCTTGATGTTTAACCGGCAAGTTGTGAGGTCTATAGGGGTAGTTCTCTAAATTAGGGTCCCTTTTTAGGTCCCCAATATAGTACGGCACCCTTATAAAAGGACCCCAAAAGGGACCCTAATTTAGAAAACTAGCCATAGGAGTTGGGATGCAGGTTGCCCAAAATCGGCCACGAAACCTGTGCTCTGAGGTTCAACTTGGACACTATTCCGAGCCGTACAGCATGGGGTTTGAGGTTTAGGGTTTAGGGTTGGGACAGCAGTCTGCCCGTACAGTACAGCGTCAATGCGTGGACTTGACTGCATTCGCTGAACCCCAAAAGCATGAACCCATAAACCGCGCAATCATACATCCCAGACCAGTCGAATACTCCCAAACGGTCCTAGGTATCGCTATGGGGACACTTTCCCCAAATCATAACGACCTTTCCTGACAAAGAAACCCCACACCACATCCAAGAATGAAGGTAATATCAGTGCCTTAGTAGTTAGAATAGGCTTTGGGGGGGTATATTATACTATGGTTATAATAAGGCACCCCCAAAATAGTATAGGTAATTTATGAAGGCCCTATATTACTTAGGACCCTTTGGAACTGCAATCCCTACACCCGGAAGACCGATGCCGTGGACACATGAACAGTATAGATGATGAACCCTAAACCCTAAAACCCTAAAACCCTAAAGCCCTAAACCCCGAACCCTGAACCCTAAAGCCCTAAAGCCCTAAAACCCTGAACCCTAAAATAAAACCCTAAACCGAAGCCGAACAGATTCGTGCTTGCGGGCCTATGACACCGAAGTGCAGCCGATAAAACTGGGCCAGCCTTGGAGGAATGATCTGAGGCTTCTGGTTGGTTTAGGGTGTTTATAAGTTTTAGGTTTAGGGTCTAGTTTATAAGGCTTAGGGTTTAAGTTGGTTTTTTGGATTTCATAAGGTTTCAGGTTTAGGCTTTAAAGTTTAGGGTTTGGGTTTCTATCCGATTTAGAAGATTCCCAACGACGCAGGAACCTGCATGCTAAACCCATCTGTTCCACCTGAAGCTGGGTGCGCTTCATGAGCTGCAGGCATGGGAGGCTGTGATGGCCTGCTCCTTTGACACCTCCTCATATCCTACAAGAAGGTCTTCTACCCTGATGGGGATCCGCTTGGCTCCGGCAGGACCCTTTGTGTCCAAGTGGACCACGATCTTCTCTTGCCTCAACCACTCACCGCGAGCATCCATGCGGCTTTGGCCTTTTTTCTCCTCCCTGTCCACGTACTCGTTCTCCGACATCATCAAGGCTTTGAACCCCAATTTGCCGCAAGGCGGATCGCCGTTTCATATTTGATAAAATCAATCATGTCCCTCTTTTCGTACTCGCATGTGCTAGGGTTTAGGGCTTAGGGTTTAGGGGACTAACATCCTGCTTGAAAGGTTCACTCATCCAAACACACTATGGGTAGCTCTCTGAATTGGGCTCCCTCATGTTTAAATCCCCAATATAGTACGGCACCCTTATAAAAAAGGGCCCTAAAAAGGGACCCTACTTTAGAGAACTACCCCTGTGTTTACCATGCTTCGTAGGAAGGGCGTTTGTCCCAACGAGACCTCGCACACAGAAACGGTCATTAATATGGGTACTCCTGCCGCACCTTTAATACTCCGCCACTACTGTTGATGACATAAATCCTGCATTACCTTAAGGAACCTAAACTCTGGGAATTATGGTATATTCCTTACTTTGGATAAGGCAGGATTTATATCATCAACCGTAGCTAAACCCGAAAGCTAAACCCGAAACCATAAGTTTCAACCATCCCAAACCCTCAGCAACGAAGCCCCTAAGCCTCGAGTGTTTGTAGTTATACAGGTTAATTCATCTTTGGGAGAGTACATGAGTACTTGGAGGATCATGGGACTTAGTACGTAAGGTTATAAGTACCTGAATTGGGACTATCTGTAATTATAAGTCTAGTTACCTTATCTATAACCCTAGTTACTAGGTCCCATGATCCTTTAAGTAGCCGCTTGGACCCTTGGGGAGCCTGAACCCCGAGCCCTAAACCCCTGAGCCTGAGACCTCCCCTCCCCCCAAGCCCGACCACCGCAGACCCCAAAGCCACAACACCTACCTTTCGTCGAGAAATATTCCGGAAACGATTTCGGAGGATCTCTATTAAGAAAAATGCCTGTGCACCTCTTACTTGAAGGCTTGCAGGACTTTGATAGCGATCCATGGCTTGAGATATACGTCTTAAACCCTAAACTTAAACCCTAACCCTAAACCCTAAAACCTAAACCCTAAACCCTAAACCCTAAACCCTCAAGGGTCCCTTTAAGGAGTTTGAGACGTTCACGGCCTGTTGGAGCCTCAGGGCCCCTCTTAGAGCCGACAAAAGCAACCAGGCAGCTGCTGCTCTGGATCCTGCTCGAAGATGGAGCCGTAGATCCTGGATTTGGGGGAGTTATAGTTTTAGGGTTTAGGGTTTAGGGTTTTAGGGTTTTAGGGTTTTAGGGTTTTAGGGTTTTAGGGTTTGGGGTTTGGGGTTTAGGGTTTTAGGGTGTAGATCCTGGAGTCAAAGGGGGTGTGGGTTTTCGGGTTTAAGGTTTTAAGGGTTTAGGGGAGTTATAGTAAATCCCAGAAAGTTGGAAACGGGATTAAGAACAACTAGTGCTGGTGTTCCTTCTCCATTGCTCCTAAGGATTGAGGCTACAGTATTGGGTTTCCAACCTTTGGGCTTCTACTGTAAGGCCGTAGATCCTGGAGTCAGAGGGGTTTGGTTTTAGGGTTTAGGGTTTATGGGTTTAGGGTTTAGGGGTTTAGGGTTTTAGGGTTTAGGTCCTGGGGTCAGAGGAGTTGCTTAAAGGATCCTGTTGCCTACTTAGTAACTAGGCTTATAAATAAGGTAACTCTACTTACAATTTATAACACCAATTAAGGTGCTTATAACCTTGCATACTAAGTCCCATGATCCTCCAAGTATGGGTTTAGATTTCAAAGCTGTAGGTCTAGGCTTTGCACTGGCCGGTACCTTATCTTAGTTCCTTTTCACCTAGAGGCTCCATATATACTCCCATTATGGAAAACTAAGTCCCAACAAAGGACAATAGGAAGTATGGTCTTTTGGGACTTAGTTTCCATAATGGTAGCAATAGATGGAGCCTCTGGGTAATGAGGATTTGGGCTATGGCTTGTGCGGCATTGGCCAAAGCGGTCCTAAGTACTTAAATCTCTTAGGGTCCAAGAACCTACTACTCATCTACAGAACTGACTAAGGGTCCAAGTCACGGTTTGAGGTTTAGGGTTTAGGGTATATTAGACTACTAAACCCTAAACCCTAAACCGTCACTTGGACCCTTAGGGTAAGAGACTACAAGACAACCAAAAAAGGAACCGTCAGGGCGTTTACCAAGTTCTCAAGGATGGCACTGACGGCTCTTTATGCAAAGATCCGGGGAGCTTTGAACTGCGGTTGATGATGTAAATCCTGCATTACCCATACTACGGCATATACCATAATTCCCATAGTGTAGAGTCCTGCATTACCCATACTACGGCATATGCCATAACTCCCATAGTGTAGAGTCCTGAGGGTAATGCAGGATTTGTATCATCAACCAGAGCCCACAGGACTTCGAAATACAAATAAATATATGGGTTGTCAAAATTAGGGTCCCTTTTTGGGTCCTTATTGTAATACGGCACCTATTATTTAGGGTACCCCAAAAGGGACCATAATTTTGACAACTACCCATATAATATGACACACTCGAAACACCCGAAAACATGCCAAAGTCCTATTCGGCTTGTTCAGGCCCCTATATTAGG